CCCCTTGAGATGGGGGAGACTGGGCCCCTAAACTCCAGCCCCTTTCCCTAGGCTGTCTCCTCCATGCTTCCAGACAGCCACTAACTACCTCTCTTCCAGCCCTGCCCCCCAGCCAGGGCAGCATTCCACCTTCCTTTGTTCCTCTTCATGGGGGGTGTCTGGCCATACTGGGTTGCATAGTGACTCATCCTGTTTTGCTGGGTCATGGTACCCACGGCAGCCGGGGGGGTTACCCCAGAGCCAGCAGCATAGAAACCAGCCAGGTACCCCCACTACGTCACGGGGGGGTGGCTGTGCCGCGGGAGGGGGGTTTGGCCCCAGAGGAGGCATGCACTGGCTTCCCTTCGAGAGGGGGCGAGAATCCTGGGAGGAGGTGGGTGCAGTGGACTCCCTCTCCCCAGCTGGCCCCCTGTTCCCTTTCCCCAATCCCCAGCCACAGAAATCTATCCCCGCACTTCCTAAAGCCGAGTGGCTGCGTCTAGATTGGCATGATTTTCCGGAAATGCTTTTAACGGAAAAGTTTTCCGTTAAAAGCATTTTCGGAACAGAGTGTCTAGATTGGCACATATGCTTTTCCCCAAAAGCACTTTTTGCGGAAAAGCGTCCATGCCAATCTAGACGCGCTTTTCCCCAAAAAAGCCCTGATCGCCATTTTCGCGATCGGGGCTTTTTTGCGGAAAACAAAGCTGAGCTGTCTATACTGGCCCTTTTGCGCAAAAGTTTTGCGGAACGGGAGCAGAATAGTATTTCCACAAGAAGCACTGATTTCTTACAGTAGGAAGTCAGTGCTTTTGTGGAAATTCAAGCAGCCAGTGTAGACAGCTGGCAAGTTTTTCCGGAAAAGCGGCTGATTTTCTGGAAATACTGGCCAGTCTAGACACAGCCCTTGTGTATAGCTTTGTATAGTGAGGGGCACAGTTGCTTATTAGCTCAGACATTTAGTCTCATTGGCCCTTATGGGGAAGGGGTTCTTCCCCTCCCTTGCATGACCTGTGCAAAGCCCAGACAAAATGGCAACACCTTCGGAGCTGGGTGGGGGCGGGAAGGCGGGACATGACTCTGCCCTGTAGCTGGGGATTTAAAGGGGCCATGACTTTTTGTGTGTGTGTGCGCAGTGTTTTGGTTTTTTTGTTTTGCTCAACAAAAAATCCTCGCTGCCAGGGCCCCATTGAAACTGTTCAAATTGGGCCCCGCACCTCCTAAATCCAGCCCTGCCTGGCTCTAGCAAAGTTCAGGGCTGGGTCTCTCCTTTCTGCCCCACCTGCTCACCCGCTCCTACAACTTCACCTGCCATCCCCAGGTGATTTAAAATGGCCCAGGGACTCCCTCCACCAGGGGCAGATGAGGATTTTGCAGGCCCCAGGGCAGCACAATTTTGCGGGGCCTCCCCTTTGACACGACGCATGCACAGGGCTTCTTGAAGCGCAGGGCCCGGGGCAGCCACCCCGCTCACCCCGCCCTATATCTGCCACTGCCCTTCACCAGCAGCAGCACAGCAGGGCAAGAGCAGTTTCTTGCCTGCTCACTCCATGTGCAGCTGCTGGCACATCCCTGCAGCCCCATGGTGGGGCCCCACCCTGAGTGCTCTGTGGCCAATGGGGGCTGCAGGAGCTGTGCCTGCAGGTAGCTGCACATGGAGACCCCTGGTCTGTTTGGATCAGTGATGGGATTGGATCTGGTGCCTGTCCTTGGGTAGCGACTACAGAGTCACAGCCTGGCCAGCTCCCAACTTCTATAGCTCCTGAGTCAGGAGCCCTGAAATTATGAGATTGTCCTTACCATCAGCCTTAACATAAAACTATAAGGCTGTGTCTACATTGGCATGATCTTTAACGCAAGAGTTCTGGCATGTGCCTTTGCACAAGAGATGTGCTTTTGCGCAAGAGCATCCATGCCATTTTAACCATCGGGCTTTCTTGTGCAAGAAATTCATGTTGCCTGTCTACATTGGCCTCTTGCACAAGAACAGTTGCACAAAAAGGCTTATTCCTGAGTGGGAGCATCATAGTTCTTGCGTAAGAAGCACTGATTTCACACATTAGAACGTCATTGTTCTTGCATAAGAACTTCCCACCAGTGTAGACAGGCAGCATGTTTTTGCGCAAAAGCAGCTGCTTTGGCGCAAGATTGCACCAATGTAGACACAGCCTAAATGTTGGGTTCTTTCTAGCCACCCTCTGCCTTCTCAGACTATCAGCTTGCACTCTGATCGTGCACACATATACATATTATACAATAATGAAACTTCCTTTGTTTAGGAGAGAGAAACTAAGAGACTCACCTCATCACAGGCTTCCAGGAGCTGGAGCTTTAACAAACACCAATTATCATAAGACCCATTATAGAATCATTAGTGTTGGTGACACTGTGGCTGCTATACAGAGAGCCAGAGCAGCCTTAGTGCACATAAGAATCGTGCCTTTGAAACACTGAAACCAGCTTAACCATGGCTTTGTCCTTTGAATTTTATATAATTAGACATGGAAGTATCTGACTGTATCAGTAGGTACCTCTAAATATTGATTTCACTCCACACACACCAACCATGAAAATACTCCCATTGTCAATCATTAAAATGTACCAAGGGGCACAGTTACGAGCAATGTTCCTAAGAACTTATTAGACTTTGATTTACAAATATTCATTTTGCTTATCTAGACATGTGCTGTGGGCAGTCTGCATTTTAATGGTTATAAAGCTTTGGCTTTTGCAATCTCTCCCTCTTCTCATGAAATCGTTATTGTCTGATCAAAACAGCTTCTGATTTCAACCCCCCCCACCCCCTCCCTGCCACTGCTGCTGCCATGATCTCCTACCAATAACAAACTGTAAATGGATAAACATGTATTGAATGCTTCAAACTCATATTTTTGTGCAACTGTGTGAATGTAAATGATTAATACATATAAAATTGCTTAAAATACACATGCCAACATTTTGTATTAATAAAAGAAAATTCTGCCCACCTGTCACTCCTTACCCACAGCCCCTCCTCCTGCAGGCTCATGGTGCTGGGAAGGACCCGGCCCATCACCTGCTACTGCAGGGAATAGAAAAGGGGATACACACTCAAATAATGGTCAAATTATCATAAGCTTAGCACCCTTCACAACTCTTCCACGGACAAGAGATCCCAGCCTTTCCCCATCCACCATGCTCTGGCTCAAGTTGAAGACAGGCTGAGGGGTCAGACAGACTTCAGGAAAACACACAAGTTACACCTGCTATAAACTGGTTTCTGAGGCAATTTAACTGATTCCTCACATGTGTGGGTGCCGCTGATGATCTCCCCTTCCTCACAACTCTGGGGATCTGGGACCTGCAACTCCTCTTGCTCCACCCAGGAGATCACATGAGCTTCAGAGAATGGAAATCCTGTTTGGAGAGCAATTAATCAAGTGCTGATCTTGTCCATTAAGGTCTGTGTCATTACTGCTTCTAGAGCCAGGATATGAGGCACCGACCCAGAGAGGCTCCTTTCCCCACCTTGCAGAGACTTGGATCTGGCTGGTATGAGAACCCAGGGCACACCCTTGCAGTAAAGGTACATCCCCCCGCCACCTTGAGAATGGCCCAGCTCTTTCCCCAGGAGAGCTGAGCACTCTGCTGCACTCTATAGGGTACAACTCTGTCCCCCTCAAAGCCCATTCCACCCCCCCCCCATTCCCAGTATCTCAGGGCAGGTCAGAGACACACTGCTCAGAAGGGGAGCTCTAGGGAGGGCTGGCAGGTCTGACACCAAGGCCCCCAGACAGGGATCAGACTGTAGCAGCCACATGCCAGGTCACTATGACTTGGAGAGGAAGGACTAGCTCTAACTCCCCAAGGCTCTGTCCACAAAGCTCCTGGCTGGTGGGCTGGGCTCCCCCTGCTCTTTAGCTCAGAGGTTCTACTTGGGCCAGAAGGAGGCAGAGGAAGTTGTCTGAGCAGCTAAGTGAATCGTTGGCAGGCTGCTTCAGGGCCTGCCTATGCTCCTGACTCCTGATCCCGACTACCTGTGTCTGGGTGGGCCCTGCTAGCTGCCCACAACAGCTGCCGTTCCCACGGCTGCCCAGCGTGGCATTAGGCTTCTCCAGGGACCAGCCAGGGTGGAGCTGGGCCATGCTGCTTCTCTGATGCTTGTGGCTGTTACTCAGCTCCCCGTCTGTAGCCTTGGTTCTACTCTGCCAGCAGCAGCCTTTGTGAGGTTTCCCAGTCTGCCTCTTGTGGCGAGCCTGGCCTTTCATTTGGGCCACCTCCAGGGAGGCACAGAATCTACCACATTTGCACCTTGTGAGCACCTTCCCCTCAGCTTTGCCTCCACCCCTTCTTGGACCTGCATTTAGTTTTGGGAAGATCCACCTGTGATGTGACCATGGAGATCATTGTGCTACCACTGTTACACAATGACAAGAAACCTTGTGCGAAGTGTGCTGTGTGCCAAATCAATGGGAAAATTCTGATCTGATGATTATGATTATCTTGTTTAAGTGCATTATTTTTGAACTAAAACAAGATAGGCTTTGGCAGAATGGTGGAGCACTGGGTACCAACTAACCAAGAAATCACATTCCTGAGCAGGAGGAGGGCAATCAACCCACTGCCTGAGGAGCTGGGACACTAGCACCCTGCTCCTTTCACAATAAACCTGGCCGAGTGCCTTAGCCCCCAAATGGAGCCTGGGTCTTTCTTAGCGGCAACAGGAAGATTGTGATGGGCAGAGAACTGAACACAGGTCTCCTGAGCATGAAACCAGACATTCACACAGGAAGAAAAAGCTCCTACCCGAAGATATTTCACTCTAAAAAACAAGACAGATTACATGATTTATCTCCATTGCACACAGAGGCAAGTGAGCCCCAGAGAGAAGGAAGCTGAACTTTTGAAAGGAAACCCAGCCAGTGCCTGAAATGCAAGGAAAGATCTGCTCACGTTTCTCTACTACAGAGCTACCTCAGACAAAATAATCACAGAGCATGAACTGCCTCATCTACCCTCACTCAGCCCCAGCATCCAGCCCCTCCCACTGGCAAGTACCAGCATGTCACAGAGATTAGCTACAGGCAGGGAAGGACTCTGGCAACCGCACTCTCCTTCCAGTGCCTGAGCACACTGCCACAAGGGGACCCTGCAGCCACTAACAGCAGACAGACCCAGACCCAGACCTCTGGTACCTGTATCTCTGGTCAAGGCACAAGATGGGAAAGATCGGCGGGAAGTGCAGCGAGACCTTCGGTGTGGGAAGAGCTGCACCATTGTTACATCCCTGAACCTGCTCTCCCTGGGAGGAGGCACGGAGGGGACAGTCTTTCACACAAGAGCCAGGATTATTATGGCAGATACTCCTGACATTGGGGGCACTGGCAATGAATAACCCTGAACCAAACCCAACCAAGATGGTCCAGAGCCCACCCAGCTTCTGTTACCCAAGGGGACAGGAATCCTTACTCAGCCAGTTCACAGCCTCATAATTCTCCTGCATCACATCTCCATAGAGGGCTCTCTGGCCCGGGTCCAGCAAAGCCCATTCTACCTCAGAGAAATACACAGCCACCTCCTCGAAGCTCACAGGCTCTGCCACGGCCATTTCCTGTCCCGGGCTCTGCAGGCCAGGGGCTGAGCTGGAGACAAACATGGGTGTACTGCAGCCTGGCAGGGGGAGAAGAGGAATTAGAGACACTTCAGAAGTGGCTTTAATCCTTTCCATGCCCCCATTCTGCCCACTCTGTCCCTGGTGACACACATGCTAGACTGCCATTGTGGGCAAAAGTTTTAAGCTAGATGTTCCATAAATAGCGCACAGGAGTTAGATCCCAAATACACATTCATTTTTGTCTCTACCTGGCTTGAGTTACAACATTACTGCATCTGCAACAATGGGATTTAGTTTTCAGCACCCAGTGTTTCTGATAATAAACCATATATTCATCTGCCTGAACATGGATGTTGGTTAAATGTAGTCTGCTGTACAGGCAGTCCCCGAGTTACGCGGATCCGACTTATGTCGGATCCGCACTTACGAACGGGGCCCTCTCCCTGGTCTCCAGCAGACCAGGGAGA